CAAAAAAAAACAGATTATATGAACTAGCACTCTTAAGACAATTGCTATCAGGGAGACACATCACAAGAGAGGTGGCATCTGCAGTACTCTGTAATAGTTTTTCTCAGACTGAAGATTCTATGAAAACTGAGACTAAAATATGTTCTTAACTCTTAGAGGTGAACCTTCAAAGCATGATTAAAAGGGTGAGAAAGTTTCTGTACTATTTTTGAAAAATACAGTAAGGATGTAATGTCTAAACATAGTGTATACTAAAGCAAAGTGCAAAAAACAGATAAATGAGTAGTTTCATCACCCCTTAAATTATTCCTTTGTCTTCATGCTGATATGTGACCTCACCCAATCTGAACACCACAAAGTCACCAAGCCATTTAGTGCTTCAGTAAATAAACATGTCAGCACTCTTGCTGAAAGGTTTCTTTTCCTATGCTGTGTCTCTTCTTTTCCCTCCCTCTCCTTATATGAGGATTTTATTTTTTCTGAATGACCTTTATTATTCACAGGAATAATTGGTGACAAACTCTACTTTGTAGTTTAGCAGGTGATCTGTCTGCTGGCTCAGCTGGGCACTGCCAAGGCACCAACACGAGGACATAGTCTGGCTTTTTTTTTTTAGTGACAAGTCCTATGTAACTGAATGAAAACAAACAAAAACAGCAGGAATCCCTGTGGTTCAAGTCAAATGAAAACAATTGCTGTAATAAAATGCCTCCTTGGCCTGTTCAAGACCAAATGGGCCAGTTTAGTGATGATCCAGGATTTATGTGGCTTGAGCCAGCCTGTTTCCTTCCAATCTGAACAGGGCAGCAGGCACTTAGTAGCTCTGGGATGGTAGCACCCTGCAGCAGCCAGAAGGCCAAACTGGGAACACTAGTATGTGCTTTTGGCACGTGTGCAACCTGCCTGGGCTCTGAAAAGGGATAAAATTGCTCCTACAGACAACCTGTCTCAGTGGAACAGAATAATAAATCCTAAACTACTCCAGCTGCCATGCAAGTGAACAATTGACTGTGCCCTAAATTTTCATAGCAGGTCTAAATGCCTGTTGTGTGAGAAATTAAGAAGGCTTGATTTAGTATGATTCCATCACTGCAGGAGTTTTTCTGGTGAATACCTGTAAGTGCTTTATCTACCTTTTCTTTTGAGGACACAAATCTTTGCCCTAAAGGCATTCCCTGATTCAACTCCTCTTTATGTTACAACCTGTCCTTTTAGGGCACCAGGTTCTTTTGCAAGAGGACGTAGGCTGCCAGGCTTTAGATGGGTACAGCCTACCCAGTGTTAATGGTTATATGGTACAGGGCTCAGAGCTGTTTCCTGACAGATTAACAATAAAGCAATGGAGTTTACATGCTTAAAACACAGAGCACTCTGTTGCTAAAACAAACAGCAAAATTAAGATGCTAAGTCTGCAGTTTCTGGGTGATTTTTGCATTTGTGAAGGGTTTTCTAAGGGAGTTGTGAGCTCCTGTAGAAAGCTGGCATATACTGGTAGCTGAATTGCATCTTAAAGTTTCCTTTCTTTGTCCAGGTCCTATAGAAGCAGACCAGAAATGGGTGACAGACAGAGATGGATAGAGCAAGCACCCCTGAGATGAGTGTACTGCCCCAGGTCACTGCTAACCAATGAGAGGTGCTTCCCCCATCGTAACAGTGCTGACCATGAAGAACTGTGATTCAGGAATGAACTTCTAAAATCTCCCCTTTTTTGCTAAGAGCAATGAGTGGGTGTGCACAACAGTTTTCCAGATCACTCATCAGTACCTCTATTCCTCATCCATATTCTGCAGTTTCACTGCCAACTGTATGACCAGGATCTGGGCATCTGCCTCTTATACTCAAATTTCATCCTTTTTGTCTTGACAACATCCATTCCTTTCTATTCTGGCTGATGGTGGTCAGCTAAAAGCCCAAATTCCTCCTCATTATCTGCACCCTGACTTCTCTCCTAAGTCTGCACAGATATGTCTCTTAAGGAAAGAGACTGTTAGCTCAGCTTCATTCCTGTTCTATTGTCTGGTCCTCTTTATTGTTAAACTCCTGTCATCCATCAAACCCTATTCACAGTTGAAATCAACAGCAAATAAAAGGAAACAAATAAGTCAGCACAGTGCTACACAGAAGTGGAGCTAGCATGCACAAAGATGAATGAAAAGCCACTGAGCCCCAGTAGTGCTGACGGAGCTGCCCTGCAGCTGTTCTGGTTGAGTTACTTTATCACTGCTGTATACAGACGATGATAGATGTAAAACTTTAGCTGTGATAATGGCAGTATGAACTGGTACTATGTGCAGCCTTTACAACATGTCCACAGACGTGAACATGCTTGGAATTATTTTTTTTTAATCCAAGGGTCATTATAAAGTTGCCATGTCCTTTATGTAGATAAAGTCAGAGGCCCATGCTATATGGCAGATACGGTCTGTCACCAAATACAGGGTGTGGAGGTGAAGTCTACTGCGACTTATGGTATCTATATTTTTTTTTGAGATTTGGGGGAGATCTATCCTTTTCTTGTGAATGTTAATTTCTAGGCCTTGGACTTCCATGACTTTTTTTTTTCTAGTTAACTGCTTATATTACGACTGACATGCTCTAGTTAATCTTTCATGTGTTGCCAAAGGCAATGGGGAATATCACTTATGGTTGGACAGCTTAAGTCAATGCCAGGTCCTACCAAGAAATGCTAGTCACAGGTGTGAAATGAGGCAACCCACATTTCCATATAGTATCCTAATCACAAGACTGCCCTTTCTTGATGGACATAGGTTACATATACATCAGCGCTTTGGCAGAGAACAGTAGTATGTTTTTTAATGAACTCATCCCTCTTTTCTGAACCACACCTGAAATTGATTCAGATGTCGAGCGATGCACACTGCTTCCACCCTCTGATTCACTCCTACGAACATCCTGAAGGCTTCACAATTCCAAATACACTTCAGAAAAAAGATGCACAGGGTCCTGAGTGTGAAAGGATGCTTTAATAAAATGACACAAAAAGGCAGACAGTTCTATTTTACATCTGTATTTGAATAGCAGGAGAGCATATAGCTATCAGTAGCCCACTGTGTTGAAATACTCCATAGACATATGACAAGAAGAGTCCTTCAGCCTGAAATTAGCATGGATAAAGCTATCAAAGTGAGCTGGAAAGAAAAAAAATAATTCCGAAACAGCAGAAAAAAGTAATGGGGACAGAATAAACTACATGCCTCTTCTGCAGCACCGCTTCCAAAGCCGCAGTGCTCTGGGGGAACCCCAGCAGAGGTGAATGCAAAAGAAGGATCAAACCTGTGGTAAAGTCACGCGATCAGACCTCTGGCTTTGTAGACTTCTCCAGAGTGCTGAGAGCACAACAATTAGAAAAGGTCCCAATTTCATTATTGTGCTTTTCCACTGGTTTTAAAGCAGCCTTTAAATCTTGCTGGGGCTGCCCATTGGCTCTGTCGACTATGTGGACCCCACAGCTCAGCACATAGGAAGAGGAGGATGCAGCTCCAAAAAAACTGTGCAGGAGGAAGTCAAAAGCACCTACAGGATTTTGGCACATAGGTTTCACTGATGTTTTTAAATATGCTTCCCCTAGAGCAAAAAAATCTGATGTACCAAAAAGCAGGGAAAGCAGCCAATATTGTTAGAAAGAAAAATACCAGTGTGTAGTCAGTGCCTCCAAGCAGAGACAGACTTCAGATCATGCTAGCGCTGCTGGTATGTGCCACTGCCTGCTGGAGCAACAAATAAAGAGCATCTCTGATTCACAGATCCTTTTGTGTAGGTAATCACAACACAACTGTGGAGTACACACAGCCAGTAGTGGTCTGAAGACAAATGCTCAAGATTATAGAGTGAAGTAGCATCAGAGGGCATGAATAACTGCCCTTGTATTGACCAAGGACTGAAGAGCCATTTCAAGCTGTATTATTACATGAGCCATATTTCAAATCTAGTAGGTGCACACAGTGCTGTGGTAGCACAAAGAACACTATTCACTGTATTCTCACTGTGAATGTGTACATTCAACAGTGTTACTGGAGATATCTATAAATCTTTATACACCCATATGCTCCATAGTGGAGATCATGTAACCCCTATAATTTGATTTCACATCTTAGAAAATATTCACTGATTTAATCTAACTCTAATCCACTGTCATTTATTTTAACTATTGCCATTGCTACCGAAATTCCAAAAGTAATGCTGTCTGTGGCTAGCTATACTTAAGCAAGATTGTACCTGGAGGTGAAATCAGCAGATATGTTCTTACCTTAGTCAGAATTTAAGCTTGATGTAGAAATAGAAGTGCAGAGGTTCTTCCAGACCTGCCCTCACCCCATAAGCAGAGGTGATTAGTGACTGGCTGAGGAACAGTGTTAACTAATGAGATGCTCTGAGTTACGATCCTAGATGCTCTTAGTTACAATCCTAGATGCTCTTAGTTACGATCCTAGATGGTCTTAGTTATCCTTCCCTAGGGATGCACAGAAGTGCAGAAAAGCCCTATGGCTTCTCTCCTGGGATGGTGTGAGCGCGGGCATACCTTCAGCACCATAACACAGGTGAGCACAGAGGAACCAGTGCCCAGGCGACTCCCTGAGGGTGGCAAAGCTGGACCTGGCAGCCAGGGCCTTCCCACAACCCATCAGGGACAGGGCAGCCACAGCCCCAGTACTGGGTACCACCCTCAGGACAGGGATGGCTGCTGAAGGGGAAGTTGACGATACCCTTCCTGAGCCTTGGTGTGCTGTGCAACCTGCTAAGCACCCGCTGTGTTCTCTCCCAGTGGCAGCTGCCTCTCCACAGCATGCAGAGCTCTCTCCAGCTGGCAAAGATATTTTTCAGTCGTTATTTTTCTACCCTTTATGCTTTCTTTAACAACACTGATGAGATACCAGGCTCGTGACAGAGTGTGGCTGCTAGAAATGGATCCAAGCAAAGCAAAGCAACTTCTCGACCATACATATTCTCCCATGGGCAATAAAATGTCTTTGGTTTTGTAGGCGCAGAAGGATCAGATATGCTGCCAAGGGACCCGCCGGGATCCTGCTCCTGTGAAAGTCCCGAAGCCGAGGAGGGTGCAGGGGTAAGTCTCTTCCCACCATGTTCTTGTGGGAAGCACAGGGATTGGACCTGTGCTCAGACATAATGCTTGTTGGCACTCTGTTAGGTGGCATAGGGCACATCTTCAGCTGCAAGGAGGTAGTCTGATAGCTCACCTGGTAGCCTGGGGTGGCTGGGAACCCACCAGTTTGCTAGAAAATGCATGATGGGAATATTCCTTTTTCATTCTCAGTGCAATCATGTGCAGCCATGTGCTTTTAAGAGCAGCAAATGAATTTGTCAGTATGATGCTGGGAGTAGAAAGGAAGTGAATGGGCAAGTGAATTTCCACAGGGCCAGAACATTCATCTTCAGGCCTGCTGACACTGCTGAGTGTGAAGCACATATATCTAAAGACAAAACCAACCGTATTAAAAACTAAAGGCCTCTCCAACAATATTTGTCATAAACTGTTCTTTTAAACAAAACTGCAAACTTGGATATACATTGTCCATATTCCTGCTTAAATTTACTTTAATCTTTCACATTTCTTTAAATAAATCAAATTAGTAATCAAGGTTGTTAAACTGATTCAGATTAAACTTATAAAGCATATTTCAGACTTCTGCTATAAAAGCAGTGGGTTGGGATTTTTCATTAATATTAGTTAAGTTTAGCCCAATAATTAATTCTTTTGCTTAGAGAGGCATTTAAAGATAAAAATGCAGCAACTTCATATCTTCTCTTGGTCTGTGAGTGAAAACTGGTGTAAGAAGCTCAGATCAGCTAGCTTTAAAACCTTAGAGGCCTTGATGAATTATCAGCTAAATCCAGCATCTGCTAAAACTTCTTTTTTTTTTAATGAGCAAAAGGTAAACACAAAACATGTTTTGAAAAGCTTTTCTTTAGATTTTTCTTATCATATTTAGTAGTTTCACCTACCATTAAAAAAAAAATAACAAACCAAACACAAAACACACTCGTAGTTTTCTAAAAATCCAGGTTTCCAAGAGTTTTTATTTAAATACTTATAAAATCCAAAAGGTGATGGACCAACATAATTAAATATATATATATATAAATGAAACAACAAAACAAATCTGCTAATAAGAAATATGAACCTCACTAAATGTGCTTAAAAATTTAGAATGGACAATGTAGCACAGAATTTCATATTCTTAGCTATCAAGAAACAACAACCAAATTTAAGATTAAATCTATATAAAGCAGTAAATCAACATATCCTCAGGGGTATCGGTCAGTGAGAATCCACCTTTCTTTAGGCAATTACTATACAACACAATAAAATTGAGGTTCAAATTGATAATGCAAAACTATCAAAACAAAACTTTCATGTTATGATTAATTCAGATATTTAAATCATTCTGACAGCATCTGGAGCATGGACTTGTGCAGACATTCCCAGACATTTTTCACTGGTTGCTAGCAGCGCTGTGCTCAGTTTAGTATCATTTTGTGGTAGCTTGTGTATCACAAGCAGGACCTATAGGACTGCTGGGAAAGCTCTGAGCTAGAGTTTAATCAGTTCCTAACTTTCTCTGGTTTAAGTTAAGGTCATGCTTAAGAAAGGGGAGAAAAAAAGTTCAATGACCCTGGAATGCAATTTGTTTTAATAACACAATACCTCCAATGCTTGGGAGTGTAACATCACACAGAATAAAACCTGACGTAGCACCATTTTGTCCTTGGTTTTAAAAAACTGGTCTCTTTTTTTAATAACAACTCCCCACTGAAGGAAAAGGTTTAATGGCAGAACCTTGTAAGAGGGAGGCTGACTCAGGACTGTCACTGATGCGGCATGAGCAGAATCAGCAAAATGTTGGCATGGGAAAGTCAATAAAGTCCAGGAGAGTATCCTTACCAGCATGTAATAAAATTCGTTTAGTCATAGTAAATGACAAAGTGCTGAAATGTTCTTTAATAACTTGCTAACAATTTGTGGAAGTGTTAAACCTGGTGTTCAAGGCAAAGACAATATGGAGCAGCTGGATAGAAATTCTTCTAGGCTTGCATTTGCTGAGAGAGACAAACACAAGACAATTGTCCTTTCTACTGCTAAACAGTCAAATGGGCAATGTTATTTTCATGTAAGAAAAATGTCAGTTCTAGACTAAAGCTGAAGAGAATATATGCTGACCCAGCTGAAATATGTCTTTTTTATCATATCAAGAGAAAGTAGATCTCAATGAATAGAAATCAGGAAACAGAACTTTGCATAGCTGTTATTTCAACAGCCTACTTTCTCCAAGTGGAGACCTGGGCCACCATGAAGTTCCCTTGAACTTTAACAAGCTATTAACAAGAAGCAACAAGCTACCTCTAGGTCCATACTGTGCTCTTGACAATATGGTTCAAGTCAATGGTAGTTGCACAGTTTTCAGTAAAGCATAGAAAACTCTTACATTTAATAGGTAATGACATTCGTGACCAGTGAAGACAGCGTATGGATTAGTAAAAAAAATACTACACTTGATCCTTGTCATGAAGCAAATCAATGCTCTTCCTGACAAGAAAGGAAGGAGCCACTCTATGTCATGTGCTCAGAACAAGACAGGCTGGACCTGTTGTTGAACATGACGAAGTTTATGAATGTTCTCAGAGTTTTTTATGTTTCTTCCTTCTTTTCTTAATAGCAAAATGCTGCCTCTTCATTGTTGTGTTTAAAACACATCCTGTTATGCCTGTAGCTCTTTTTGGAGTGCAAGTTCAGAATACCATGTACTCTATCACTAGCAGCTTTTGCTTTAAAAGGAGAACAAATATGTGTGTGGGAGTAGCATAAACTGCAGCTGTTTTTCTTTGTTTCTACTGTCATTACTGCTGACTGGTAACGAGGAAGAAGACGTAAATATACACCACAAGGAAGAAGATATACAGGAGCTTGGGAGATTGTCTTGGTGAATTCCTAATTTTAACAAAACTTTTATGACTATAAAAAGATTAGAATAGGGTGAAATAATTTGTTTTGCAGTGGAAAGGATGTTGCTATCCTGTCTGACATGGAATATTTAATCAGAGATACAGAACTTCAATTTGCTCTTTCACTGGCTTTATGAAAGATTGTATCATCAAAGAACTCAAGTGAGTTCATACATCTTTGAAAAGATTAATTAATTTCACTGGGCAGCTGCTTAAAAACAAACAAAACATCCAAATAGATGCAGGATACAACCTCATCTCCTCATTCTCCCCCTTGCCCTACTGCACTGTGGCTGAAAACTTTACAGATAACTCAAAATCACAGACGTGTGGTATTTTCAGCACTCTGGGGCAGTTTAAAAGCAAGATGTTCTTTCTGCACAGCACAGGATTCTGAAGCTTGTGAGTCCAAATGACAAAAATCCCTGGTTATCTTTCCAAGCATAAGCCTGCATGGTCTTATACCCCCTCCTCTCTTACCCTTCAATGCAGTTTAGGATGTATATTGCTGCCACAACAGCTATGGAGGGGTACTGCTGAAATTCATAGGAAATTGAAGTGAAATTCAGTAACAATCCAAGGCACAGCACACAGCTCCAAGGCGTAAAACAGCTGATGCTTTCTCCAACTAGCTCCTGCCAGCTCTTATTACGGGTTTCTCAGGTCATGCTCTTCACCCCTGGTCCTGGCCGTAGTTCACATCATGTTTAAGTCAGCAGAGCTGGGCTAGCTAATGGAGAGGAGAATTCATCTGAGTTACTGAACTGCATGTCATAGCACACAGCTAAGAGTTCATTTCCAATTATGGTCTGGGCTAATTGCTCTCCTGTGCGTCTTCAAATCATGACCAAGGCAGGCAACATTGGTTAGGGAAGCCAGAGGATTGTTAGTCATTCAAAGCCATCAGAGACATTATGTTTGACCTCTGGCATTGTAATTTTATTTCTGTGGCTCTGCACGGAAACTGCCAAAGCAAAGTAACAAGACTGCCAAGCTGTGGTGCCTGTGTAAAACATGCCCACCTACCTTCATATATGAAGACAAATGAGATTGCCTGCTCCTACAGTATGTGAGCTGGACATTGAAACACATAGCAGTTTCATAGTGCAGAGCTGGATTTCCACAGAGAATACTGTGTATTTTTAATTAGCAGGCCTACAATCAACTTGTCTTATCACCTCATTACACTTTCATTTTGCCTGATTTCACTTCTGATGATCAGAAAATGCAGTGAAGCTAAGACGTCAGCTTACTGCAGGGACAGCCAGTTCTTCAGGCTGGCCACAGGTTTAGTGATTGGGCCTGCTGTCTTTCTAATTCGAGAAAAGGATGCATCTTTTGAAAACTTAAATATGTTGTTTGAGGAGCAAAACATTTTTTGTCATGGGACAAATAATTTCTGTTTTGACTATGACCCACTTGTCTCTGACTTTCTGAGGACCTTCAGGTAGGATCGGTTTTCTCACTTACCGATTTCTAGTGTTGCCATCCACCCTACAGCAAATGACACATCCCAGCTGGAGGCATCTAACACCACTGTGAAGTAGCACTAGAAGGAACAAGCATCCAGTCTTGAATATAGGGAGGGCTCGGTAAAATGTGTGGAGAAGGCAGTCTGATTGCTGGAGATTTGTACTTCAGTGTGCAAAACTTAGAAGATCAAAAGATATGAAGAGCATGCAGGACCACTCCTTAAGACCATAGCAACATATAGGTGGAAATATTAAAAGTATGGTAAGAGGGTTTTGCTGTTCTTCTGTGAAGCAGTGATTTCAGTCCATGGAGGCTGACAGGATTCCCCATGTGGGAGTAAAAGCAAAGGCAGAAGCATTTCTCTTCTTCATAGTTCTCTGAGCACACCTGTGGCAAACTTCCAGAAAAAGATGGCATGACAAAATGTGCCTTTCTGCATTTAGTTAATGTTTGGACCTGAAGTAAGCATTGTGTTTGCTTTGTGTGATAATGCAAAGTATTTAAGAATACTGTCTTGTTTCTGATGCTGCTACTTGTGAGCTGAAAAAGCGATGAACATTTAAATATGAACAGGTAAAATTTAAATGGTATTATTTTTAATAGTTACAGGCACAGTTTTGTATAATAGTATTTGTCCGCTTTTGATTCTCTTCCTACATAAATCCATGAAGGTGTTTAAAAAAGCCCATCCTGTTTTGTCTGCTGCTTGCACCCTCTCTCTCCCACTAGATGTCTTTACAGGATCTACCCAGACGTCTTGAAAGCCTCTGATCAAATTTCTTCCATATTTCGTCTCTGCTGAAAGTTTCCCACCCAGATTAGTTTCTGCTAATTGTTCTTTCATTTGCTGCCACTTTTGCTTCAGTCTGGTCCCTTGTGTCTCCCACAGCTGCTTATCTCCCTTGTCGGCTCTTTTTCCTGGGGTGACACTGGCCCCACTTTTTCCTGCAGGGGCAAATGTCTCTGCTCCTCAACACTCATTATTGCTTGCATTTTGATAAAATCTACAGGCCAGATAAGAAATTATTATGTTAAATGAGATAAACTTACTTAAGGGAAGCCTGTCTCTAGTCGAGGTCTTAGAAAACACTTTGGATCCATCTAAAAGCCATGACATTAAAAAAAATGCCAGCTCGCTCTTCCATTGCAGTTTTGATGATTAATGGCAACCAACCACTTCTGTGTTATCTTTGTTTGCGCAACTGGAATTTGTAGTCATGTTTATTAACTCAGTCCTTGCAAATACTGGGAAGTTGAATACTCAGTGAAATACACTGTGTTTGGGTGTATATGGGGAGATATTTAAATATTTCTGCTACACAAACAATTTTACTAACTCTATAGGACTTTCTTTTATTTATAGAGCCTAATGTATTTAAGCTGCTGCAGGACAACACTGCTTTATTCTCTGTAAACAACTTTATTCTTTGTCTTGTCATTTTTATTGTTCTAGTGGCAGTGAATAAAATGCTGCATCTGTTCCTCAGGAAGGACTTAATCCAAAGCTCATCGAATGCATTGGAAGAACCTCCACTGGGCTTTGGATCAAGCTCCTTAGTTCACAAACAAACGCTCTTTGTGAGAATCTGCTATTCAAGTATTGTACAGAAGAGTTACAGAGCTAGAGTTCCTGATTTCTAAAATAATGATTGCTCTTCAAATCTTTTTTGCATTGCCTGTTCAGTTGGAGGAACAGTATCCAACTGTACATAATTGTTGAAGTACTGTAGTCTGTGATTATCTTGCCCCAGCTGTTGACGTAAACGTAGAACATGTAAAGCTGTGGCGAAAAGTAATGCTATATTTATATAGCTCCTCCTAAGCACACAGTAAGTCAGAAAATTATATAGACTCCCTGCCCCTGCTGATCCTCAGGCTCAGTCAGGCAAGCTGGACACGGGTGAGCCATCTTTCAGGACTGCCTTCTGTTGATGTTACTGATGAAACAGACTTAAAAGAGGGATTTGTAGAGTTTTGAGGGATACTACTGAATGGATTTTTTTTTTCTCATGTGCTTAGCAAAAGTAACAGACTGAAAGGAGACACAAAGCCCACAGCAGGGGAAAGATATGTGAACTCTTGTGGAAGAGGGTACCAAAAGAGTAAGATAAGGCAGGAGTAATCAAAGCAGAAACATTATCTGGAGTTAAGACTGTAAAGAGCTTTAAGTGACATCTCAGAGCCCCAGATTTGCAATGACTGCGTTTTCCAGAAGAAGGAGGAAGAACCATGAGTCAGTTATGCAGCGGTATCCCCATGAGCTGCAATTAAAAAACAATATTCCTTACAGCATCACAGGGAGTGAATATTTCCTTGGACTTCTCATGAAGGGGAACTAACAGTTCCCATGAACTGAAAAGAACATAATGCCACTGAAACTGGACTGTTTCTGCAACTGCAGAACAGCGTAACTGCTTCACGTGGGTGTGGATTACACACAGTTACTACTGGGTATTACTCCTGTGACAGAGTAATAGTACTGTGACAGTAAAATAGTCTACACAGTGTGGTAAGTGCTGGCACAGCTATGCATGTAGTTTGTAAGCCAATGATGACTAAAAGTTTATGGAGCCAGTACTAAAACGTTACTTACTCAGGAGTCACATTTAAGTCAATGAGTTTATTCATGTTGCTAGTTGCTGATACAGATCTTGCCAAGCTATTTCACCACATAACAGAAATATCTAAACGAGCCTGTTAGTCAGCTAAGTAACTTAAGAAAATAATTTTTAAGTTCGTATTACATTAGTATTTGAACTCCCCAACCACAGCTGAGGTCCCGTTATGTTCTGCAAACATCCATTAACAGGCAGTCCCTGTCTTAAAATTCATCAACTCATAAAGACATATAAGGGAACGTGATATGCATTTGGTCACATCTCAGATCACCAGCAACACCAGGAATGGAACAGGGATCTCCAGTCACTTCTCAACCAGCAGCTCCCTACTTCTGTAATACCTGACATTTCATCCCTGTACTGAATATAAAGCATTTATGAATGTGACCTCCAAACTTCCCACAGCTCTTCTGCTGACTGATGGATCTCTGCATTCATTAGTTTTATAAATGCATAGAGAATACACACAAGTACCATTTTCATCTCACATGCATTACCACAAGCCAGTGCATTCCCCCAGCCAGCTCATGTGCATGTTATTCTGCAGTCAGAGAAGTAACCAGAATCACAAAGAATGAAAAATTAATCTAAGCACAAAATTTCTGACAGCTAATCTTGACACTCAAAATTCTGCATCCCAAGCAAAACCCCATTTTTTATACACAGTGTGGAGGCTCCCAGATCAGGCATCATCTTTCAAGACTGCATTTCATTTTATAAATGTTGTAAAAGCACCTGATATATCCAGCATCATTATCACAGTATTCTTTTTCCTTTCTTTATTCTGCACTACTCTCAGCATCTTTAAGAGTTCATAGAGAACAAGAACAGTATGCTAGGCTGTGAGACAGCACCCTGAAGGAATTTCTTCCTAATAGGAAGAGGTACACCCTCTGAATTGTTCTCTATTTGAAGGTTTGCTGTATAACAGTTAAAAGAAAATAAAAATCTCTCACACAGAAACTAGGGTCCAATATACCAGCAAAGACTCTGAGTAAATCCTCTGTCTCCTAGATACTTCAGGGGCAGCAGATATGGATATGACTTCTCTGTCTTCTCTCCATTTCTCTCTCTTCTCCTTTAAATGTCTTTGTGTTTCATTTCCTTCTCTTTATCTCACCATCCTGAGCTGCCCTGTGTCTCTTCCCCTTCCTAACTCCAGGCACTCTTCATTGGCAATGGCTCTGCCTGCCGTCTTTCTGCCCATGGAAGAGCATGCATCTGTACAGAGGCACATTGTGAACTAGGTCAGCTTATGTGGCAGAGAAAAAAGAGCAGAAATAAAAGCCTTTTTGTATAATAACAATGCCTCACATAACCACGTGGCCCAGTTATTAGAGGTGTTTGGTGTCTGCAGTTCCCACTAACTTCAGTGGCACTAGTCCTCTTGTTCACAGCCTATGTATATAGGAAAATAACTTAAGCTTCGAAGGTCCCTACAAATACTAGTACAGACATGCAGTCACACTTCCTTGAGCTTTCCCAAGAATGTCACACAATCTCAGGATTTGTTTTTGTCAATTTTTCCTACATGTTCAGCACAGCCTTGGGATGCATGTTTGTCAGTCACTGGAGGAGGAATGAGGTAATACTAGGAATAACATATCCCTTTTCAGTTCACAGGGCACATAAAGCAGGCCTGAAAGGGAATGACAGGCAAAGAACTGTCATTTGAATGTTTAAAATAACAACCTTTATTGACAAAAGTTGGCTTAATGCAGCTGATCATTATACATTTCCTACTTTCAGAGATTTTGGGACCACACCTACTAATCTTACAATTCATTATTTAGATAAAGATATTTTAATTTCACAGCAAAAATTAGGGAAGGCTGCACCGGGGCAAAGATTAACTCCTTCTTCTCCCTACCTGAAGCCCTCTGTCATACTGTTCAAAAATCACAGAGCATTAACAAAATACATGTTTAAAACAAACTTTAAGATAATTTTCTTCTGCTGTTGTTACTGTTGAAAATGAAAATTAGAAGCCAATAGGCAAAATTCACTAAAATACACACAGTGAAATCACATTTGATTTCCTCTCTATTAGTCATGTGCTACCTGAATTATTACTAAGTAAATGCATCTCTGTCATAAGAAAAAAAAAAAGGCAAATAAAAATTCAAACAGTATCAGCGTCATTAGATACTGCTTTATCTAATGGAAAAAAATCTGTGCTGCAGTCACACAGTTCAGTCCAACCCTGTATGAGGGCAGTAAGCAGGATAGGAGCAGAAGGTAACTGTTGGAACAAAAGGGCAGAGGGGTGGGAACCCACTAAGAGGAGCTCTGAAGTTCTTCCGTTGGCAGTGTAACATCTTTGGTTGCAGTTATCACAGATCTTTTTCTACAATGCAGTATTGCCAGTCTCCAAAACTTGAGACCTTCAAAAAGCATGAGACTGACTACGATTATTTTAATTATGTTTCTAAGGCCTGGAGGAGACCTTTCTGCATAGTTCTGAAGGTTTCAACAACTAAATAAGCCCGATATATTTTTCTCCCTCCCTTCCTTTTGATAACTGGCTTGTTCTATCAGCTGAAGTTTCTAAAAACCCAACAAACATGGTCAGACCTCTGAAACACCCAAAACGGATGCAACCCCCATGCTCCTCTTTCTCTTTCACCTGCAGCCCCACACTGCCATTTGGATAGCATACCTACCTGTGGCAGCAGAGACAACAGGGCAGGCTGGTGGGTGTGAGCAGTGATGCATGCCCATGCATAGCTGCTTCAGTCAGATGCCAGAGCTTCTCATTGCTCCCTGCCTGCTCCCTGCAAATGGGCTGAATGGAACCATACTACAGTTCTAGCACATGCCGGACACACCTGTATGGATCCTAGAAGGACAAAGGGTGGGAGTCCTGTCTTTGGGCAGGTAACTGAATTGCAGACATTCCTGGGAACAATCCTAGATGGTGCAGCTCAAACACCCCCTGCTCAGAGTTGGTCTTCCTTCTTCCTTCCCATGCGGTATGCTAGTGTCAAGTAAAAAATGTGCATTAAAAAGGGCCATTTTTCATCTGGAGAATTTACAGCAAAGTATGAAAGAAACAAAATAGACGGCAGCAGATATGGAGTATGGCAACAGCTTCCTGGGTCAAAGACATTGGAGGAGTCTTGCCTGTACCATACTCTGTGCTTTTGGATTCATGTTTGCAAAGGTGGTCATGGATACATACAGTTAATCACTAAGATAGCTTCTTACTTTCATTAATAGCACTGACTTACAGGTCTACTCTTAGGTATGTATGCATCTATTTCCTTATACTATTACCTTTTTTATAAGCCTTTTCACTGTCACAACATTCAGGTAGCAACGTGCCTGTCTGTGAGCACCTATGTCCTTGAGTTCTCACCAGAGAATGCAGCAGCTGAATTATCAACAGCAGCATTTAACTTCCCATTTAAAATACTGGCACCTAAAGAGGTGAAGGTGGCAAATGTGCCACTAAACTTCAATACAGACTCTGGAGAACTAGAGGTTCACAAGCCTCATGCCTGTTCTGTGCAAATAGAGAGATGCTAATTGGGTTAGAACTAAAGGACACCTGGATTAATGCTATCTATCTGAGAAGAGTCAACACTGCAGCTGTAAAGTCCTGCCTTAAACAAACATCTTGAAGGTCTCTGAAAGGATCAACAAAGATGTGGTCAAGGTGATCTAATTTCCATTAGACTGGGTTTCTCAAAGGCTCTTGACAAAGGTTTTTAAGGAGACTGAAGAACTGACAACAACAAGAGGGAAAGCCCTGGTATAGTTCAGTAATTGCTTAGAAGATAAAATGCAAAGTACAGGAATAAATGACCAGCTCCCACAATGGAGGGAGGTGCTGAATGGTATAGGCGTCTGCACAAATCAGTGCTGGGACATGTGCTGTTCAGTGTACTCATATCTCACCAGAGAATGAAGTGAAATAGCGTTCATTAGTGGTATTAAGTTAGCAGTAAGAGGAAAGACTGAAGAACTACACAAGGACATTATGAGGCTAACTGGACAATATGTGAAATTCAGTGTAGATTAAGTAATAATGAAACAATTGTGTAAGACAGTAGAGTCTGAGCTGATCATCGCATGAACAAAATCTCAGGTTTACCACAGACAGTTCTGTAGAAACATCAGCTGTGTGCTCAAAAACTCTTCATAGAATACTAGCTTTTAAGGGAAAAATAACACTGTGCCACCATATGAATCCATGTTTTGTCCTCATCTTAAATCTTGTGTATTTCTTAATCTCCAATAGGATCGATTAGATCAGGCTGACATTCAAGAGGGCATCTTTGATGATAAAAGGTACAGGACAGTCTATGGACAAAGCGCCTTCTTGAGGAGCCTAAAACTCTTGAGCCAGGAGGAGTGATGTAGCGGAGGTCTACAAACTCATGAGCAGTTCAACGAGATGGTTAGGACCTCTTCCTCATCTCCAGCACAGGAGCTGAGGGCATAGTAAAGTTCTTACTGAAACCAAAAATAAAAGGGAGAGGTTCTTCACGGGGGGGGGGTGACAAACCAGTGGAAAACCTTGCCACAGCCTGCTGGGAATGCTGCAAGCGCATTTGGACCCAAGGAAGTCACATTCACTTTTGTATATATATATATATAGATTATATTCGATATATTTTTATGTATTTATATAAACAAACAAAACCCCAACAAACAAAAACCGGAAAGATAAAAATCCCCAAACCCCCAAACCCCCGTATCACCGATTAGCAGCAAAACCCCGCGGAAGCCCTCGGAAACCCCCGGCGCCGCGGTCAGGAAGCTCACGCCGCACAGCCCCGGAGGCGGGCCGCGGGGCCGCGCTGCTTCCCGCCGGGGCTCCGCTCCCGCCCTCCGGCCCTGCGCGGCGCGGGCTCCCGTAATAGGAGAGGGCTCGCAGCCGGCCGGGTAACCCGACCGCGGCGCGGGGGGAGGATGCGCGGAGGGTCCGCGGGGGCGCAGCGCCCCGCGGGACAGTACCCAGCCATACCGGGACGAGGTGGGACAACGCGAGGCGGGGCGGGGCGGCTACGGGGCTGCCGGCGGGTTAGCCACCTCTTCCTGGCGTCGGTGAAGGGGGCGGGCGAAGAGGGAAGGGGAGGAGGAGGAGGAGGAGGAGGAGGAGGAAGAAGAGGGACCCGGCGTACCGGGGCTGCGCTTGGAGCTGGCGGTGCACGCTGCGCGCCGGAGGAGCGGGAGCGCCTTGGAGAGGTACCTCCGCTCGGGGCTGCGCGCGTGTTTGCGCGTCCTCCTGCCAGCCTGTCTTGTCTGACTGTCTGTCTGGTGTGTGTGTGTGAGCGCGGCTCCGGCGGGAAGGAAGGCGGCGGTGGCGGCTGCGGCTCCGGCAAGTTGGCCCTCGGCGGGCTGCAGCCGGCAAAGGTGGAAATGAGGGGACGGCGACGGCCTGAGGCGGGGGCTGAAGCGGGGCGCGGGAGGTGTGTGGGGGGGGGTCGACAGAGATGCGAAGAAGGTCGGGGAAAGGCTAGTAGGGAAGATGAATAGGCAGGGAGGAAAGACTAGGTGGGGATGGGGGAATGAAAATGTGGGAGGGGAAGAGGCCAGGAGGGAAGGGGGGCTGTTGGAGGGGGAACGCGGGCTTTGCTTTTGCCCTCACTTACCCCGCGAGGTGCGCCCGCCAGCCCCGCGCCTGCACATCCCGTGTGCCGGGGGGCGCTGGACCCGGAGGGGACGAGTGCGGAGCGGCGGGTCCGTGCGCGCCCCCCGCCGCGGCCCGCAGGGGCTTTGGTGAGATCCTGAGGAACCCGTGACGTAATTATTTTTTAATCAGCATGTTTTTTTCATGGGCATCTCAGTTTTTCCTGGACTCCCCGTTTTGAACAGGAAATCTCCCGCATCTTTGTGCCAAGTCTGTCTATTTTTAGACCCCTCAGTAACGGCGAAGCATGAGTTTTAAGTATTTGATTTCTTCCCCTTTGGCTCCTGCTTAGGACCACTGCAGTGTGAACTACTCAAACGCTGGTGTTTCTTCCTAGAAAAAGTTATTCAGATTATTGCTGAGGTGGGCAGGCAGGCGGCTACTGTGGGTATCAGTGTTTGAGTTCCTGATAACATTAATCATTAGCCATAAGGAGCAGTCACTATGCTGAAGTTTCTTTTTTATCTTTAGATGAATCGTCTGTCAGCTCCCAGAAGATGTACGTTAGGACAGAAAGTACCAGCTTAATGTTGGAAGAGGTAGAGCAGGTCCCCCTTTTGTGATTTTATCAATGAAATAAACCTGTTTTATTTTGAGCTGTGATTAACAGTTCAATGTTGCAATGATATCCTCTGATTCTAGAATTGTCTCATAGCTCTGGTATGTCAATTTGTATTCATGCTGTGTAAGTGTTTTGCAGAGGTTTTGCGTATCTGACACGGATTTATTTCATTTTCATAATTACATTTTCTGGTGTCACCAGCCTCAAGGAAAGCGCATGTACATCAGTGTCTGTGGCAGTACATGACATTCCTCTATGAAGTGCAAGTTATTTTGTGTGTGTTTAGATCACAGCTTTTATGTCCCTGCGCACAGCAGAAGATGAAGTTGCATCTCAGATGGAGAAGATTTTTTAAAACAGCCTGATGGTCCACATAGCCATTGTGGCTGCCTGCAGGAATCTAAATGTTGACTAAGATGGCATCTCAGGGGCCCTTCCAGTACTGTAATTTTCTGTAATCAAGTGACAATCATGGTAAATCAGTACTGATGAAACATGCACAAAGCTTTAAAAAAGATGCATTGCACACAGTAACTTTTAGAGACCACAGATCTGTCCCTCCTTCCTGAAAAACAAGTCTCAATCCTCAGTGTGGAAGTTTCCCAGCTATAAAACAGAACTCTTCTTTCGTCCTTTTTCTTCTCTACATTAGCAGATCTTCAGGGCTGTTATACGGTCTTTGCGCAAGCACAGTGTACCAAAACTGGAAGACTCATCCTAGTTTGTAAAAAAATCGTACCCGTAACTACCGCTCAAAAATATGTATTACAGAAATCCATATTTTGTCATTTGTTTTTGTGTCTCCCAAATAATCATATTCACAATAGTTGTTTTTTTTCTGGGATTATGACAAAATGAACAGAAAAATATTTCATATTGAAATTCTGTGTTAGCAATACAAATTATGGGCTTCTTTTTGATGATGAACAGTATTCAGCAGTCCATTACAAGTGTAAATCATGCCATCCTTAATTTTTAGAAAGAGGTCCTTTGACTTAAGTTTATAATTAGAGCTCAGGAGTTTCACTTTTTGTTCATTTGATGACAGTATGCCACTGGGTTTACAGAAGAAAGCAGAACTGTTCCTTTAGAGTAATTCTTCAGAAATGTGGTAAAAATACTTATGTGTAGCAAGACTTAAGTGTTTTCATCACTTGATATGGTATTTACATGCAGTATACTGCAAAACTGAGAATTTTCCCTAGGTATTTCATAGCAGAGAGAATGATTACTTTAATCCCGTATTAATAACAGAGAAAAACAATCATTTATTGAAAATACAGCAAATTCCCTTCAAAACATGTATACATCTTCAGAAGGGTTAGGAATATTACTTTAAAAATGTGTGTAAGTGCTTGGCAAAACTTTGGTATTTGCTACTGAATGACGAAAACGTGTCCTGTTCATTGTAGAATTTTCCAGCTTTGCCTGATTGACTTTTAAAGAGATGATTCATGGTCCATGAGTAAAGGATGCTTTCAAATATTTGTTTGCTTTTCTTTTTTTTTTTTTTTTTTTTCAAAAATCTGTTGATTTCACTAATGGCTTTTGTGGCTTAATTTCCTCTTTTCCTATATTCTGAGTGTTAGAAAGGAAAAAGAGCAGGAAACTTGCTGTATGTAAATTGCTAAATTCACATTATTGCATGTACATTGGAAGGGAATGGTTCTCCATGTTTTACAAGCTTTTTTGTACATGTGTTTGTATTACTTTATATAACATATGTTTGTATAAAGTATGCATGAATCAAGAAAACTTTTTAAGGGTGCAGTGCGTGTAGTACTACCAGTAAAAGGTGTTGTGTATCTGTGTCATTTCCCTTTGTAGCAGCTGAATTAGTGAGAAGAGCTATCTCCTGCATTGATAGTTGCAAAATACCTTAAATGGAGACACATTAGGACTGTAACGATTTAAATATAAAAACCAAACATCACACCAAAACCGAAATCACTGAGTAACTTAGTAAGTAAAACTATTCTGCTGACTGGGCCTGGGTGAAAATGCAAATACAGATGAGGACATATGTAGCTGCCTTCCTAACAGTTCTCTGTGATTTGACATCACAGTTGTTATTTTTTAATCCAGTAAATCCAAGAATTCAAGCGGACATCTTGTGCCTTATTGTTTGGGCCAGTGGCACCAGCATTATTGAGCTTTGTAACAGCCATTTCCCCCCCGTTACTCCAGGGAAAAATACATCTCTATCTGTATACATGCTTAGAGTGTCGTATTTCTGTGTCTTGTTAAATGTGGGGCAAGTTTAGTAGTGCCAGTTGAGAATAATTCCCTTATAGGAGTGCTACTACACAACCCAGATCCTCCTGTCTTTGAAAAAAACTTAACTTTTAAGAAGTTCCCTTATTGTTTTAATAACTCTCCTTGGGCAAGCTTCAGAAGACAATAGACCAGAAATAGGAACCAGCTGACACGTACACCTGCATCAGCATCCTGCACCAAACCCCACTGTCAAACTAATTAAATCAGTATAAATCTGTTAATAAAGGTTGCAGTTTTGCCACAAGAAGAAAAGGTTTTGTTAAAGCAGGTGAGATTTACCCAGCAGTTTTTGTACAAACCTTTTGTCTCTTTAGTTTTGTTCTATTAGAAATTTGTCACAGTACTCCTCTAGCTTTGTATGAAAGGCAATGTGAAGCCAATCTCAAATCTTTAGATACAATTCTATCAACTTTCCTCATAAATAGGTCATTTTATTTCCAATTTTAGAGTTATCCATTAGCTGCTGCCCTGCCCCAAGAGTGAGCACAAGAAAAGGTTTTTGCTGGTGATGCTCTTGAGAACCCACGTATTGGTATGGCAACTACTATCAATAAACCCAGTCAGTTAACCTGATTTTAAAACAGTTAAGATACATGCAAGGTGAACACACCATTGTGATTTTTTGGCATGGTGTTCCCACTGTCCGTATCTTTTCAAAACTTGTTTCGCACCAAAGAGAGGAGGACTCTGTCCCAGAAGCCCAGGAAGGGCTAAAGGACTAGGTATATGAAGAGGAAATGCCACAAGAGTTCAGACACATTCTGGTCTCCACAAAATATTGTTTCAACTGTTGAGAGCCTGTGGCTGGAACAGGGACACACCAGGGCAAGATCCCAGCCGCACTGGGATCTTGACACAGCTTGGCTGAGCTTGGCAGAGCAGTGAGACCCATCCAGTTCTTTGTTGTTCCTTGCTCCTGATGCTGGTTGCGATCATCAAAAATAAAATTCAGCCAAAGCTGTGCTCTGATTCTTTTAAATGTTTTCCCTTTCTCTGCATATTTTCAGTATTTTCATAGAATCATAGAATCATTTAGGTTGGGGAAGACCGTTATGATCATCAAGTCCAACTGTAGCAATTCTGTTGTGAAAGCAGTGGATGTAGTGAATATACTGAAATTGGCTTAATCGAACTGATTGTTTTGGTTAGTTAGTTAGATCTAAAGAGCAGTGCAGAAGAACCCGTCCTGGCTTTAGATACTGCTGTTTATTTGGAAAAATGAAAAATACTGTAAAATACTGGCACTGGTTGCCCAGAGAGGTGGTGGATGCACCATTCCTGAAGACATTCAAGACCAGGCTGGATGTGGTTCTGGGCAACCAGATCTAGTTGAAGATGCCCCTGCTCATTACAGGAGGGGACTAGATGACCTTTGAAGGTTCCTTCCAACCCAAATTATTCTGTGGTTCTATGGTTCT